AACAATTTTGTGTCAGATCGCTGCTCACCAGAAATAATGACTGTAGGGTGCGTCGTTCGTTGCGCTCAATCGCTTGCTATATTGAAAATTTTCCTGCAGGATTAACACCATCCGGGCCATCTGCCAGAGAGCGCCGTTGGGGATGACCGACGCGCTTCTGCAGGATCTCACCCAGTATAAAAAGTACAGAGACAAAGGTTTCCCGCTCTTTGTATATATATACATATCATACTTAAGGGATACTTAATAATGGGGCACCCTTTAGGCGTTTCGATTGCCGCCAAAACGTTGATTAATACTTTTAGAGAACTCAATCCCGCTATGCTTCACAAGAAAGATAGAGTGCGTATTACCCCATGGCACCACTTGATTATTTTAATGCGCGATGATGTTTGTTAGGGAAAAGAGGCATCTCTGAATATAGATAGACGAACTGTTTTCCAGTACGGGGAGGTGCACGCCTCCTCGTTTGTGCCTGGCACTGAAGTAAGCCCCGTTAAAAGCATGCATCCATTTCGTTAATTTTTGAGCTTTCCAGCTATTGGCGGACGGCGATCTCGCAACTTCCGAGGACGCCAGCGGTTTTGACCCCCCAGGCAAATTCATTTGCGTGACTCTGGAAGTTTTATGACTCATATGTATATACAGAGGACAGCAGCGACGGTGATTGGATCGATCTCGCCGATTCTGCGGAGGGTGCAGAGTCGGTGGTTGACGCTGTGGTGACTCCTGATATTGAAAGAGCAGAGAAAATCAGTAGCACTTGGGTCTCTTCTTTTACTCTTAATTTTTTTTATACTGCAATTCACTGCATTTATAGATTCTTTCATCCGCTGATTTCGCGGTCATTAAGCGGAAAAGGATGCAGGAAAAATGCTCTGGCGCTCTACGGAAACGTCCTCGTGAGCATCCCATCATCGTGAGCAATAATAACGAAAAGTTTGTATTTTTATTAAAACTTTTATTATCATTAACATTTTATTTTTGTGCCTTTTCAGGTTGACGGACCAAATTATCAGTAAAACTGCTATTGAAACTTTTTATAAGAAAAAAAAAATGAGCAAAGAGGAAAGAATTCAGTCCGTTAACGTAAATAGTAATATTCTTTAACGTTTTTTTTCTTAAGTTTAGTATAAAAAAAGGACGGCAGAATAGGAAGAGCAAAGTTTGGATCCAAAAAAAATAAAATGCGAACAGGAGGACTTTCTAACGCTGTAAAAATAAACAAATTTTTCTCTATGCTAAAATTTTTTATGAAAAAGTTTTATATCAGAAAAAAAAGAACACGAAAAACTTTTTGATGATGCTGAAAAGTAAAAAAGTGCGGTCGAAAAAGTTTGCAGCGAAGTCTCAAAAAAAGAAACTTCGACGTCCCACAAAAAAAAAACCAAAAAAATAAAGAACTTTGAATCTTAGTAAAGGATAAGTTTGTAAAATTTGAGAAAGCTTATTGGTTAAGAAGAAATAATAAAGTTTATTGCAAATTTATTTGTTCAATTTGAGCCCATAAATGGGAAGCCTTTTGAAGTGGTCGCTGCTGATCGCCGCGACGGTCGTCCACATGGCGGGGAGGCGACCAAGCTGGCCAACGAGTTTCGCATTGCTGGAAACGTCGAACCGGACGAACACGTGGAGGGAGATGACTAGGGGCATGATGACGGTTCACTGGTGAATTGGAATCCTTGGAAGCGAAGTTGTTTAGGAAAACACTAGAGGGGCTGCTCTCGCCTTGCTGCCAGCTGGTGACAACATATTGACCAGGAAGTTGTTTAAGGGGGCTTGGATTGGTTAATTTAGGATTGATAGTTTTGGTGTGCGGGGGGGCTTTATATTTTTCATGCACAGCAGCTGTTTAGAATAATGATTAATAAAAATTAAATTAATATTAATATTAATAATACGCACCAGCAGAATTATAATATTTACTTGCAACGCGTCTAACAAACGAGCAATTTAGTAACATCTCAAGTTTTAACGTGATGCCTTTTAATAAAAATAATGAAGTTAAAAATCCGTGCTATAGAAATTTAAAACTAAGTAGGCTCCAAATAAGCTAAAATGGGTAGCAACATATTTCGGTGTCCTAATGGCCCACTAACCGCGAGAAGCTGAGCACCGGCCGCCCAAGTCCGAGCCACCGAGAAACGAACGATCGAACAGCACGTCCACTTCGCATGGCTCGCCTCTGTGAGTGTTTGCGTAAATAGCCACGACAGTTCCTTGAAAGCCGCATGGCACAATTGCTAATAAAAAAAAAAATAGTTTATATTTTTTATAAATTTTTTCATTGTTTTACTTGATTATATTTTTTTGATTATTAAAAACTTTTTTTCAAGACGTATAAAGAAATATTCACCAGATTCTGATATGCATACAACTCTGTCGCCCAATATATAGTGCGTTCCCTTGGGCTCAAAAATAGAACTAAATAGTAATAATAATAAAACAAAATAATAATATTAATAGTAATAATAATACTTTTCGCGGGGGATTAATATTCTTTCGCTGGTAATACGGCGAAACTTTACAATTTCCTGCTGAAGCTTATCACTATTTTCCTTGGCAAAGTAGTCGTCCAATAACCTTTCAATTTTAAAAAGAGTATGCCCAGGCAACACCTCCGAGCCTTTAATAATAATAATAGTTAATAATAATAAAAATTAATAATTAATAAAAATAATAATAATAACGATAGCAATGATAATAAAATAGTAATAGTAATTGTAACAATAACAATAATAGCAATAGTAATACTAACAATAATAATAATACTAATAATAATAATAATAATAATAATAATAATAATAATAATAATAATAATAATAATAATAACAGTAATAATAATGAAAGGTGCAAACCACGTGGTACAAGAGGGTAACTTGAGATCTTTGATTGGTTAAGCCATTCTTTTAACACCTCCAGCACTTTCATTCCTTCTTCGATATTTTCGTAGACGTCCTCAATTTTTAGCTTAATGTCCGGCTCTTTACTAATAAAATAAAAATAAAAAGTTTTGAATAATAATGAAAGAACACAAAATATAATAATAATAGATAATAAGTATAAGCATATAAATAAATGTAATAAATATACAGAAAACCTGCAAACAGCTTCTAAAAATTTAGGAAACTTTTGATAATAACTTTTTAGTAGTTCCACACAAGCAGAAGAGTACTCAAACCTATTCTTGTGCTCTGAAGCAGTTTAAATATATATAATATTAACAAATAAAATAATAGTATGAGTAATAATAATAAATAATAATAGTATTAATATTTTTATATAAAACAATAACAATACTAATTTATGAATAATAATAACAAATAATATAATATAATTATTACTGATCAATAAATAACATAATGAATAATAATAGATAATAAAATCAGTATTCTTACTTAATATTTATAATAATAATAATATTAATAAATAAATAAAATAATAATAAATAGTAATATTATAATTAGTAAATAAATAATATAATAATAATAAGAGTTAATATAAAACAATAATAATATATAACAATAATAACATTAATAAATAAGTAAAATAAATAATAAAATATTAATATTAAATAATAAATAATATTCATAAATAAGTGAAATGATAATAATAAAAATTAAAGAAAAAATAATAATAAAATTGAGGAAAAAAGTAAAAAATTAAATAAATAATAATAAAAATTAATAATATTAATAAGTAAAAAAAAATAATAATAAATAAAATGTAATAAACATTAATAACAGAATTATAATAATGATAAGTACTTTATCAAAAATAATATACCAATAAAACAAATAATAATTGAATTAAATAAAAAATGAGTTATATAGAAATATTAAACAGTTCATGATAAATAATATATCATGAAACAGAGAAATAGAAAAATATAAAAAAATTAATATGTAAAAGTTAATAATAATAAGTAATAAAAGAAATATAGTCATGATAATAATAACACACAATATATATAAAAAGTTAATAATAATTATTATATAAAATATAAAATTATTAAGCAAAAAGATAGTAATAATGACAAGTAGAACAAAAAAGGAATAAAAATTATATAAATAATAAAAAAAGTCAATAAAAAATAATAATAAGATAATTATATTATAAATAATAATAATTAGAATATAATAATAAATAAATAATATTATATAATAATTATATTACAAATTATAATACTTGAAATATATAATATTAATATTTTCAAATTTATACAAAATATAAAAAAATTAAAAGAATAATAATGAGATTATATAAATATAATAAGGGATTTCTATATAAAAAGTAAATATTATTAATAATTTAAAAAGCAAAATAATAATATTATATATATAATAATGTTTCGTAAAATGAAAAATAAGTAATAAAACATATAATAAATAATAATAATCAATAATAGAAATAATATTTTTCTATTAAAGATAATATAAATAACATATAAACTATAAAAAAAATTATATAAATAATAATAAAAAAATTGATTATATTAATTTAACATTTTAACAAAAAAGTTGATATTTAAAAAAGTTAATATTAATAATAAACAAAATAAAGTAATAATAAGATAATATAAATATAAATTTTTTGCTAAAAAAATTAATATTATTAATGATAATAAAAATTTGAATAAATTATATAAAAAAATTAAATATTAATAAAAAAAAATAAGAAAATAATATATAAATTAATATTAAAAGTTAAAATTAATAACAAATAAACTAGGATAAACAATATTTTCAAATAAAAAAATATAATAATAAGTACATTCAATGTAATAAAATATTATTATAAAAATAAAGTAAATATATTTATAAGTAAAAAATATATAATAATATTAATATTCGGGCAAAAAAAAAAAATAAATGTAAATGAATTATAAAAATATTATGCTAATTAAGAAAATATTACTGATAAATAAATAAAATAACATTATACAAAAGAAGTTATTATTAGAAAGCAATAAATAGTATTAATAATAAGAAAATATTTATAAATAAATATGCAAAAAAGGGAATAATAATAAGTAACTAACGATGGTATTTTGCAAAAAAAGTGCGTTGCTGCTTTTTTCTTTCGAACTTCACGCAAAGGCCAATGTCAACCATCGTTCGGCCGCCAGCATGTGCTGCAGACGGAACGGAAACTAAACAGGAGGAGCAGATGGTTTTGATACAACGAATAGGCAAGCCGGACTTCTAAAGTGTTTGCAATTATCATTAAAAAGAAATATTTATTATTCTTGTTATCCTTATTAGAAAAGTGATGTAACACTTACTAGTAAAAAAAGTATATTATTATTACAGAATTAATTATTATTTATTATTAAAGAAAATGTATTACTATCATAAAAGTAATATAGAATTTATTATTATAAAAAGTATAAAAGTATTATAAAATTTATTTATTATTATAAAAAAAAGTGTATTATTATTTTAAAGTATTATAGAATTTAATATTATTTATTATTAAAAAAAAGTATAGTATTATTTATTTATTATATAAGTAAATTATTATTACAAAGTTATTATCAATTTTATAGTTATAAATAGGACATATATTCTTCTTAATCAGTTATTTATTAATAAAATAAAAAATAAATATTACTATAATTGCTTAAAAGAGTATATTATTTATATTGACTACTAATTATTATTATTGTATTATCGTTATTATTTTTTATTAAAAAAGTATATATTTTTTGAATTTATTATTAAAGTATTATAATATTTATTATTTACTATTAAAAAAAAGGGTGAATTATTTATTAGTATTAAAAAATTATTATAAAATTTATATCAATGAGAAATAATATCACATAGTTATTATTATGTTATAATAAAAATATTAATAATAATTATTATTATTTATTATTGAGGTGATTTATTTATATTTATTAATAATTATTTTCTAAAAAATAATACTATTAATAATTATATAATAATAACTAATAATTAAAATTTTATTATTATTTATTAATAAATTCTTTATAAAAAACAGTTTTAAAATTTACTATTGTTATATAATTACTACTAAAAAAAATTTATATAAATTTATTTCTTTATTATTATTATTATTAAAAAATGTATTACCCATAATTATTATAATAATTATTATTAACTTAAAATGATTCATTTTATTTTCTCCAAAAATCTTATTAAATATATTATAAATATTACTATTGATTATCATAAAAAGTGTTTTTAAATTATTATAATATAATAACTTATTAGAGAAAAACATTTTAATGGTATTATCAAATTTATTATTAATTATATCTATAAATAATTATATAATTTATTATTATTAATGTTAAATAATATTTACTATTAAAAAAAATATTAATTATATTATTATTTATTCAAAAAAATATCTTCTACTTACTATTGATTTTATATTATATTTGTAGTAAAATTTGAAAGTTTTAAGATATTCCGAAAAATTCTTAACTGATATATTTTTCTTTATTATTTTTATTTTTCCTTATAAAAAAAAAATTATATTAATACCGTAATATATTTATTATTTAATCTATAAAAAAGACTGTTATTATTTATATGAAAATATTTTTTATAATATTATTTTTAATATTTATTATTTTTAAAAAAAATTTATAAATTATTATTTATATTTGTAAAAAATATATATTAAGGTTATTATAATAAATTAATATATAATATTAAAAACATAATATTATGTAAATTTATGATTTATTATTATTTATTACTTTTGTTAAATATTATATAATTATTATTTTAAATAATCTTTTAAAAAAGTATTTTTATATTTATTATTAAAAATTATATTTACTTAGTTTTTTAAAAAATTATTATATAATAATTATTATTTATTAATTTATTATATTTATATAATTCTAATGATTATTATTATTAATATATTTATTAAAAATATTTTTTGTTAATATTATACTTTATTATTATTATACTAAAAGTATATTTGATCAATTATTATTGGTTCAAAGTTTAATTACTTTATGTATAAAAAATATATTATTTGTATATTTATTATTTTCTAAAGATATTAAAATTAATAATCATTATTATCTTTATTTTTATTATTTTATTAATTAAGATATATTTTTTTATTATAGGAATTATTTCTTTAGTCTTTATTATTAGAATTTTATTTAAAAATAACTTTTTTTATAATTAAAATTATTATTATTAAAAAAAGTATATTACGTAAATTTTTTAATTATTTCTTATTATAATTTATTATTATTTTTAAATTTTAATATAATTTTTATTATTGCTTTCCAGTAATTATTTTTATTTTTATTTATAAAAAAATATATTTTATACCTCAATTACTAATTATTATTAAAAAGAAATAATATTATGTATTTTATTATTATTAGTTTTAGAAAAAAATTATTTTTAATTAGTAATTATCAACAATTTTCTATTATAAAAATAAAATAATTATTATTAACTAAAAAAATATATTTTTAATCAATACTATTTATTATAATGGAACAAAGCTGATATATATTTTTATTATTATATATTAAGAAAATATTATTTATTAAAAATTCTATTTTATTATTATTTATTTATTTATTTGTTCTTAACTATTTGAAAAGTATTATTTTACATTATTACAATTTAATATATACTATTAATAATAATTATCATGCTCACACTCAGTAACCATCATATAAGTATTAATTACTATAAACTTTTAATATTATTACATTTTTTTTCACTGACTATTTGTATAATATTATTTCCACCAAAATCTTATTTTTATTTATTAATATTTTTTTTCATTATTTTTAAATATTATGTTTTATTATTATATATTTCATTATTATAAGTATTCTTTTTTTTTTATTTACTATTATACTTTTTTTTTATCATCCATATGGATTATTTGTGTATTATTATTATATAATTTTGTTCATTCTTTATTAATATT